TCCAGTGTGTTAATGATTCTATAGCTTCTTCTTCTTACCTTTCTCGGTTACAGGCCTAATAGGCTGAAAAAAGCCATCTACCTCAGTTTCTTATTCATTTGAAATACTTATCTTGTCCCTACACTCGTTGGTCATTTTATCAAAAACACAAACCATTTATGTTTCAGTTTGTAGATTCACAATTACAGACTGTGGCTTCTCTATTGCTGAACAATTTCTCAGGCCTCCACTACCCCATCCATCAATAGAAAGAGACTATCATATGACCACAACTGACCAGATATGATTTGGGTGGTGGGCCATTCTCAGTGCAGCAGTGACACTGACATGGTAGTGTATGTATTGCTGGTATGGGTTTGATAGAAGTAATGTGAACAAAGAATAGTGGATGATCAGAGCTGTGTACTGTTGTAAGAGACCTTCTTAAAAGATGTGTGTGACAAGTTGTTTTTATGAAGGCCTATGATTTTTGAGGTAATGTGCATGATACATGACAGCTTGTTGACATTTGCCGCTGTTAACATTGTGAGGAAACAAGTTGAACAATATAGCATGATATGATCATGTAGTTCCTTTAACTTTCTAATGACAGAAAGTCTCTGCTGATGTCTCTTGTAAAGCTCTGTTACATGCTGGTCAAAGCTAATTTTTTTGTCCAGATTGAGTCCAAGTGCAGTGAGAGTTTGGCGAGTTAATGATCATCTCCGTAGTCTTTGAGACATTTAACTGCAGATGACTATCTGTACACCTTTGTGTTAGATGGGAGATGGAATGCTGTACAGGTGCCAGTCTGGCGACTTCCGAGTACAAGGAGGATAAAATCTAGTGCACTGGTTGTTAAGATACAGAACAGATCTCTTTAAACAATCTAACAAAGTTAGTCTGACAATTTTAAGGGGTTATGACAGGAGGCTATGATCTGCAATGCTAACATACATTATATATTATCCACAATAGAGGGTATTTACTTTTTTTTGACAGCCATCCCACAACACTCAATTTTATCTTGTGTATCAGGACATCCAGTTCAGAATTAACATGACTGACATTGAACTCTTAAGATTTACTTCTTTTCTCAAGATATCGTGCAGACCTTGATACTTTTACTGTCCCTAAATACATAAAGCAGAATAATCAGTGTTGTAAAATTACTGATAAAAGTTACTACTGCAATTCATTACTATTTTTATTAAACCTGGTAATAAAATGGGAAAAATGGCAACAAATCATAATTACTTGAAAAAGAAAATATTAAAATAAATAATTAGCAACTATTACAGTAAAAGTGTATAATACTAAACAATTAATCAGCCATTCTACTTATTTTTTTTACATTTACATAATATTGTCACTGCCCTCTTACTACTGATCTGTAATACTCTCTCTCTTTTTTCTCCTGCCCAGTTCTGTCCTTTCCTATCCTATTTCAGTGGAGCACAATGACTGTATTTCTTCACTGTAAATGGTGACGAAGGACCTGACAGATCCTCAGACGACACTTTATGAACACTCAAATTATCAGGGTAGAAGTATTGTCCTGAAGAATGAGACCAACCTGTGTCATGGCTCTTTCAACGACGTGGCATCTTCTCACAAGGTTCAGAGAGGAATCTGGGTCCTGTACGAGCATATCGACAGACATGGGGCAAAGATGGTGGCCAGAGCTTCTTGTGATATTCCTGACTATGGTTGCTTCCATGACCAAGTGTCCCTTGTGCACCCCAAGTGGGTTTTAAGAAGAAATGTCTGGTGAATGAGGCCCAGTGTTCTTAAACATGTTGCTTTATTTACTGATGAATTTTTGGTGGTGAGGTTCAACCAACCTTACTCGTAAAGGAATAAGACTTTTCTGGGTGTTACTTTCATAACCAAGCATGACTGCATCACCTATAAAACATGTTTCATTAACATGTGTGAAGCCGTGTATCTAGTTTTGTGAACTCCTCAAATCAGGAAATTGCTTAATAACTTTTCTGGCTGATGCACCTTTTTTGTCCCTTGCCCCCTGCAACCATCAACCTGCTCGATCTATCACTGCAATTTCAGAAGGAACATGTATAACATAAAAGTAAAAACATTAAATATATTGTCTTTGTAATACTTTTAGTTAAAAAAGGTAAAAATCAGTGCTTTTTCTTTTTATTTGCATTCAAATGCTGTCAAAACTTTGGGAACCCACTGTTTACTGTAAAATGTAATTTAAAGTGTCTCTTAATTTAATTAGTGTCTCTTAATTTAATTGCACTATGTCACATTATTTGTGCCCTGATATTAAAAAGCCAGTTTCAGAGCTTAAAATATTGGTGAAAATGTCAATAATCTAAAAATATTATTAAGTAATATCAAAATATACTGAGTAAAAAATATTTTTGACCAGTACGGAAGGTCTTTACACATTCCCATTATGTCACACATCCTTCTGACCTCGATTCTCACAAGGACTCCATCTCCCAGAACCCCTTGGGAGATAATGTGACAGAACTTCCTCATTCAACCAATCACCGCTCTAGTTCTTCTCCTAGTAAGGAGTATTGACTCCTTTCACCTGTGCTCCATGTCATATGATTTGTTTAGTTTAGTTTAAAAGTCCGGGCTTTAGCTTAGCCAGTTTGCGAGGTATTGCTTCTCCTGTAGAGCTACTGAGCCTTTCTCTTGTGTTTTTGTAGTTGCCTTTTTCGTGTTTGGACTGTTTTTCTGGATTTCTGGTTTTTCCTTGCTGTTTTGGATCTGACCCATGCCTGTTTACTGACCATGAGTCTTGTCAAAGTCTTTGATATTAAAGCCTCAGTTTTTGTTTTTTACCACGAGTGTCTGGCGCTTTCTGTCACGTTACACATAAAAGATGCTGTATGAGCATGGTAACACTTTCTTTGGATAGCCCACAGTAGATTTTCACCTTGTCTATAATTTAAATTTGTCCAAATATACATTGCAATCACTTTAATTTTACCTAACCCTGAATCGTACACTCACTCTAACCTCAACCTCGAAACAAAAGCTAACCTTGGCCCTAAACCTAATCCTGATACTAATACTAGCCATATACCTAATGTTTCATCAGATTTTTTATGTAATCTTCTTTTCCCCCTAGTTCAGATGTTAAATCTGTAATAACTGGATGCTGTTTCCTGAAATAAACTTAAATGACTCATTTACAGAAACTGATCACCTTGATTCATTTGAGAGCTGCTTGTTTCAGGTTGTTACAGTTAGAAAAGTGCATCTGACTGACTCTTCCTTTTTCAAAGCTCCTCCTCCAGCCACCTGCTAGGCCACCTCTGGCCACTAGGAGGGTCCGAAGAACTGGGACAGATCAATTAATCAAGTGGTGGCAACTGTGGAAGCCTTACTTAAGGAGAGTTCACAAGTAGCTCTTCGCTCAGTCTTGAGTTCATGTTGCCAAAGGCATGTTGCTCTGACTAAGTTGGTAGCCATGGTATAACTCTCCCTTCTGGAGTCGAGTGTTGCCTCTCTCAAAGTGTTTCTCAGCATAAGTGTAAAAAAAAATTACATTTAAAACTTCTATTTAAAGTTAAAGAAGTCCAATTATCTTTGAGGCTAATATATGTAAATGACCTCTGTTCTAATTGGTTTATGTGTCTTTTGCCTCATTCTAAAAGCAGTCCAGGCTAAAGCACTCCTCAGATCTTCGAACTGAATGGGATGCTGTAAGTGTAAGAGGCAGATGTATGTAAAAGTGGTGGTTGTCATGACATCACAATGAATTCTGATTTTTTATTGGGTAGTTAACCTGCCACTACACCATTTACAGTTGCTACAGAGAGGGCACTGGTCAAAAAAGCTTAGAAGAGAAAACTGAACCTTCATCCTGAGAGTGCCTAGCTACTTCTTCCATTTTCCCATTGTTGTTAGTGATATATTTATCCATGCATATGGTCATACAGTCTCAGGTGGTGGCAGGTCACCTGTTGTAGTTCTACAATTACAGACTGTAGTCCATCTGTTTCTCTGCATATTTTCTTAGCCCCCTTTTACCCTGTTGTTCAGTGGTCAGAACCCCCATGGACCCTCACAGAGCACGTAATATTTGGGCGGTGGGTCATTCTCACTACTGCAGTAACACTGATGTGGTGGTGGTGTGTTAGTGTGCAGTCAGTTAGTTAGTTGCGCTGGTCTGAGTGGATCAGACACAGCAGTACTGCTGGAGTTTTTAAACACCCCAGTGTGACTGCTGGACTGAGAATAGTCCACCAACCAAAAATCTCCAGCCAACAGCGTGCTGTGGGCAGCGTCCTGTGACCACTGATGAAGGACTAGAGAATGACCAACACAAACTGTGCAGCAGCAGATGAGCTGTCGTCTCTGACTTTACATCTACAAGGTGGACTGACAAGGTAGAAGTGTCTAATAGAGTGGACAGTGAGTGGACACAGTGTTTAAAAACTCCAGCAGCACTGCTGTGTCTGATCCACTTGTACCAGCACAACACACACTAACATGCCACCACCACGTCAGTGTTACTGCAGTGCTGAGAATGATCCACCACCCAAATAGTACCTGCTCTGTGAGGGTCCATGGGGGTTCTGACCACTGAAGAACAGGGTAAAAGGGGGATAACAAAGTGTGCAGAGAAACAGATGGACTACAGTCTGTAATTGTAGAGCTACAAAGTTCACCTATATAGTAAGTGGAGCTGATAAAATGGACAATGAGTGTAGAAACAAGGAGGTGGTCATAATGTTATGCCTGATCTGTGTATATTTCTGTAAAATCGCTGTTAATTTCATTCTGATATTTCATTTTCTTAAATAAATAACATACTTTAATAAAGATGTCTGACAGTCTGTGCTACTTTAAACTGCTTTAGTTCTAATGAATAAATGGTTTTACAATCTCTTCATTGTCCACATTTAAAATCATTCTGTAGACTTTAGAACAGCAATTGCTGCCAATGAGTGTAGAAAGCGCAGTTAGAATAAAGCATCATTTCAAAGCTCCTCCTCCTCTACACTTCCTACACTTGTAGGAAGTGAATTTCATACTGTCACTCTGAACTTTCTTCATTCTGCACTCACTTCACTCAGAGACACCAATGAGGAGCTTTTAAACAGTGACTGTATGTGTTTGTTTCTTGATGTGTGATTCTGAAAGGAGCTAAAACTCACTCAGTGGGTTGAAGGGCTACGGTGGCTGATTCTCAGCTGTGCTGCTCTGATCATTACAGACGTCCTAACAGTGAAAGTGGAGTTTGGACTAAAGGAGCCGTTACAGAGAAACAGCACAGCAGCCGTTGGAGGAAATGGCTGCTAGAAACCCTCTTTCACAAGAAGAGCTTTCCTGTCCTGTGTGCTGTGACATCTTCAGGGATCCTGTTGTTCTGTCGTGCAGCCACAGTGTGTGTAAAACCTGCCTGCAGAAGTTCTGGAAAACTAAGGGATCTCGAGAATGTCCAGTTTGTAGAAGAAGATCTTCTAAAGAAGACCCTCCTGTTAGCCTTACTCTGAAGAACCTCTGTGAGGCTCTTCTAGAGAGCAGGAGTCAGAGATCTTCAGCAGGGTCTGAGGTGCTCTGCATTCTGCACAATGAGAAACTCAAACTCTTCTGTCTGGATGATCAGCAGTCTGTGTGTGTGGTGTGTCAGACTTCAAAGAACCACAAAAATCACAAATTTTGTCCAATAGAAGAAGCTGTGACAGACTATAAGGTATGAAAGTAACTCTGCTGATTTTTATTTTTTTGTTTTTTTCTTTTTTAATACTTTTTGTTTGAATACCAGTTACTTTTTGAACAGGCTAGATAAAGTCAGTGGGTATTCTTTCTTAGACAGGCTTCATTCCAACACTAGTTGTCTATTTTATGAGGCCCACATACCACGTTTGTGTAATTTGTAGTCCTACAGTTTCAGCTTGTAGTCCATCTGTTTCTCTGCATGGTGTGTCAGCTTTCCTACTTCTTGTAAACACATGCAGAGTTCAGTCGTAGAAATTGATTGCATTTTCTACTTCTCAGGAGTCAAAATAACCCCAAACATATTCATGTGATGTCTGAATTCTGGGGTGGCCAGTCCATTGTTCTGAGAACTTCAGCAGTTTCATTGTCTGAATTTTCGATTCTTTTCTAATTTTTTGTCCATTTTTTTCTCAGTAATGGCTTCTTGACAGTTACAGATCATTTCAGACCAATAACATGTTGTTCAGATCTGAAACAAAAGTGGATCAAGTGTCATAAGGTCACTAAATTTCTTGGCTTTAGGCAAAATGCAAGATGTTTCTGACCCACATATTGGAACCTAGCAGCGAGTGCAGCATGCTTTCAACCTGTGTATGCCTTCATTCTTTGCTAGTGGTGAGATACCAGCAGTGGAAACAGAGCAGAGAAAAGGGTGGTAGCGTGGTGTCACCCATAAAGACACTTGAAGTTGTAGCACAATACACATGCAGAAAGTCAGTGACTGCAGTTTTCTAAGACTGGTTCTGCTGGATAGCTTGCTGGATTGTATGTTTAAGCATAAGGCTGAACCATTCAGTTGCTTCATTGGCAGCAGGGAGGTAAAATGAGGAGTGATTATGACACATTTGCCTTTCTTCTAGGAAAGTAAACAGTCACAATACTCGAAGGGTTGCCATGCAGGCTCAAAATATTAGACCAGAAGTCTTTTACAGTGGTCCCAAGCACCAGTGTTAAATGGACCTACAATTCTATAGTCACTTTTTACCATGGTCCATATGGAAGAGGTCTAGGCTGAAGAGGAGCAGGTGGAGCTTAGGAAATGCCAGGCAAGGGTCTGCAAGACAGTCATGGGGAGCATTCTGGGAACCTAGACGATATAATTAAATCAAATGAGTTGAGCGGACTGTCTAGCAACACACATGACCTACACCCTTAGTAGTCAGCAGGTTGCCGGTGCCTGGTAGTCAGTTTGTAAGGTGAAGTGATGCCCTCACAGGTAAGTACGCCACCTTTCTGTGACCCATGCGCAAGCGAGGGCTTCTTTTTCTACCAAAGATTGTTTTCACTCAGTAGCACAGTGTTCAAGAGGTGAATGTCACAATCCTTCCCACATAGTCTAAGCCATCTCATCAGAGTATGGCTCCAACAGACAACTCCAATGGGAGCCCACTTCTGCAGAGGCATCAATCTATTCTGTTATTACAGCAGCCAACAATTGATTCAGTTCCTCTGTTACTGCATTCCTAACAGAGAAGTGTGGTCAGGGCAGCTTTAGCTACACTTTAATTTCTCACTTTCTCAATACAAAGTACTGTAACCATCTAGTAATTCAGCTTCATGTACCTGTTGAGTACATGGTGAAGCAGAATGGCTCAATCATTTTAGCATAACCTGTTTTTTAAAATTGTCTAAAGGTTATCTTTGCAACAGGACAGTTCAAAGCACTGGCCAAATGTGCTTCAGATCCACGACAAAATCATAGTGTCCTCTTTCCTGAGCTGGAAGAGGTCTTGGCAGTATTAGTATAAGCTTGACATTCCACTATAACATTCACTTTGAATGTAGGTTTTTAAAGCTGCTACAGCTGCATCACAGGTCGTACCTGTGTTGGGCAAGGCCTGGAAAATCCTCTGTCCATCTGTTCCTAGACAGTGAAGCAGAACCAAAGTTCCTTAAATCTGACCAGACCATTAATGAACAACAGATAGCAGTGAAATGTCTGCAGCTACATTAAAAAAGGCACAGTAGGCTCACCTGTAAGTAAAGCCCGGCCAGCAAGTACACAGTACATCACTTTCTGTTTAGAAAGTTAATACCAGATATTTGCCTTTCTCAATAAGGACCAGTTCTTCATGCATGAGCCTTCCTGCCTGAAGGGTGGGCTTTAATTACTTGCATATACAGTTCAATGGGAAAGCCGTCATATGCATTTAATTTGTGTGAAATGTGTTATGCATAAAGTCACACATGATTTTACAGTTGTGTTTCCATAATATTACAGACAACTTACTGGTGTATACATGAGAGTACGTCTGGTTAATTTTTGCATATGATGATGATGATGATGATGATGATAAGAGAATGGGTACTGTATAGCTACTATGTAAAAGATTCACTAAAAAGGCTGTGGACCGACATAGAAAGTAAAGTTGCTATTCTTTTTTCCACATTTTCAGTCTGTGTGATGCCCAGCACATGTGAAGGGGTGCAAATGTTAAAAATATTGTTTTGTTGTTGTTGAATTGCAGAATAAACTCAAGACTGCTTTGGAGCCTCTACAGAAGGATCTGAAAGTCTTAGAAGAAACAAAACACAGCTTTGACAAAACAGCGGCTCACATTAAGGTGAAGCATCATCTTGAATTGTGAAACATGTTGCTGAGGTCATGTTTCTGATGAGTGTCCACTTCTCCTGTAGGTGGTAAATGCTTGTAGATCATCTGTTAGAGTTTGTGTTTCCTAATGGTCTCTCATTCCAGACGCAGGCCCAGCACACAGAGAGGCAGATAAAGGAGGAGTTTGAGAAGCTTCACCAGTTTCTAAGAGATGAAGAAGCAGCAAGGATAGCTGCACTGAAGGAGGAAGAGGAGCAGAAGAGTCAGATGATGAGGAGGAAGATTGAGGAGATGAATGGAGAAATATCAGCTCTTTCTGACACAATCAGACACATAGAGAAGGAAATGGAAGCTGAGGACGTTCTGTTCTTACAGGTAACAAACACTTATTTGTTCCAAAGAACAGATCAGACCAAGAGTTTTGGTGTAAAAGAGAAAGATTCTTATGAAGATTATGAAGATCCACCCCACCCTGCCCTTGTATAATATTGAATAAACTTGTGATTTCCATTTGTTTTTTGTTTTATGTCCCTCTTAGAACTCTGAGGTCACATTGAGCCAGTAAGTAATAGTCATTCTACCCTTTTGGTCAGATTTTTTTAAATTAAATGTTCAAATCTACTGTATTTTTGGAAAAATGAAAGCATTTCAATGACATTATAGTGCATAAGGTTATTATTATTTAAATGACAAAGCAATAGGAGTAGAAATATTTATTTGATACTTTCTTGTATTTTCAGAGCTCAGCTCACGCCAAAGGATCCAGAGAAGATATCAGGAGTTCTGATCAACGTTTCTAAACACCTTTCCAACCTGAAGTTCAGAGTGTGGGAGAACATGCAGGAGATTCTCCAGTACAGTAAGTTCTGTTTCTCTTAGGGCTGATCTACCTGAATAAAGCATTGAGTAAGAATAAGTAATAAGTGCATATATGACCCAAAGGCATAACAAGTCATGTCCAGGCCTGTGTGCATGTAAAAAGTCTTCATTTAGCATAAATTCTGACTGCATTAGTGGCATGACCAGGTCCAGGCCATTGGATATAGCCCTGAACAATTGTTTTTTTCAGGCTGGAGATGGGTTTACACTTCCTTGGCCTACTTAACAAAGTTACTAGAGAGACAGTATAACTAAAATGGTTAAAGCAGAGCTGTAGATGGTTATGCAAAGGTTTAAACATGCCAGCTAACTGCATCTGACTACTTTTGTGCACATTGCACACCAGTCAAACAGAGGTCATATTACCAACTAACAATAAACAGCAAATATAATGACACACCTTATTGCAAACAGGAGAAACAGAGGTTTATGTGTGCCACTGGTACTAATGGTGAGGTCTATCACTGTCACAGTGTGTTTTATTTAACTATGAATTTTATTATTATTAAAGTGTGTTCCTGTAGAGGATGTGTTAACATACTTTCACATCACATGAGGTATTCAAACGATTGTATTGAACTCTTGTATCGTTTTCAGAACTTGTATTGAACATAATGCCACACAGCTTGGCTGTATAAATGATCAAGCTTTAACTCACTAGAACTAAACCACAAACTTAGCGTTTCATCGTGTTTCATTGTGTTCTCTCTCCTCAGCCCCTGTTACTCTGGACCCCAACACTGCACATCCAGACCTCCACCCATCTGATGATCTCACTGCTGTAGAATTTAGAAAGCACGGACCATCACTTCCTGATAATCCAGAGAGATTTGATAAGTGTGCATGTGTTCTGGGTTCTGAGGGTTTTGACTCAGGGACACACTGCTGGGATGTTGAGGTTGGAGACAGTGACTACTGGGAACTAGGTGTGATAACAGAGTCTGTACAAAGGAAAGGAATCTCTTTCAGGGATTCAGTTTGGAGTCTGGAGTACAGTAAAAGCAGTGGTACATTCTTCGTACGTGGCCCAAGAGAGCCAGATCACTGCGCCTCATCTAAAGAGCAGCTGCAGAGGGTCAGAGTGGAGCTGGACTGGGACAGGGGGAAAGTGACATTCACTGACCTTACAAACTGTACACAACTGCACACAATTACAGACACATTCACTGATAGAGTTTTACCGTTTTTCTGTAACTGGGATGACTGTCCTCTGAAGATCTTACCAGTGAAGACGTCAATAATGGTGGAACAGCACAGTGCAGGTTAAAGTCACAGTAAAGTGCATTTTCTTCCATAATATGACATTTTTCTGACTGAAACAGGATGTTTGGGCAGGAAATAGTGTATAGGTGGGTCTTGATTTCATCCACTGGGAACAAAGTTGTTGCTTTTAAATACAGATGTGAAGGCTTCAGTCATAACGTGGAATTCTCCGAAATTCTACTCTATTCAAAATGTTTGGTTTAAGGCAGCGTGCCTGTATCCACATTATTATGGGGAGAGGGAACAACCGACGTCTATGTTTCAGTTTGCTAAGATACTGTACTTGGTATTGTCATTAACTAGCCAGTTTGCTAAATAATAGGTGGAATCATGATGTTATATTACTAGAAAATGTCAATAACCTAAGAAGAAAATGTTGTTATTGTAACACCTCTACTTCCCCAGCTAATGCTTAACCTTAACTAATGCGTTCATCATAGTGAATTAATGCATAGAGTAATAATTAACTTGTCAGGAAATAATGAAGAATATACATCAATAAAGAACTGAGCCATAGGAATGCCCATTGATAATGACACTTGCTAAGTATTAATATATTTCAAACATTCCAATGATTTTATATATTAATTAAAATTTTAACCTTTTTATAATGTGCATAATGTGTATTATTCATTTTATAATGGGTATTATTAATTTCATTAATGTGTAATATTCCCTACATAATAACAATACACATTTTATTGGAAGAAACATTAATGTATACAGTGCTTGCTTTTTGTGTTGCAAGAATAGCTAGTAGACAAAAATGACAATTATGTACACCTCCCTTTCCAAGGCTCCTCCTCCACTACACAGTCTCTCTGAAAGAAACACATACTATCATTCTGCTGATTCTGGTTCATTCTATCATACCTTACCAAAGAGGCAATGATAAATTCTCTAACATAACAAGTCTGATTTTTAACCGTTTTTCTGAAGGCATCTGAAGACAGTGAGATAAAGGACCACAGTGAGTGATTCTGAACAGTGCTGCTGAGGTCAGTACAGAAATCCAAGGAGAAAGGAGAAGCCATTAGAAGAAGAGACCAATAGCTGCTGAAGAAAATGACATCTACAATGTCTCTACGAGAGGAGGATCTTTTATGCTGTGTGTGCTCTGAAATCTTCAGGGATCCTGTTCTACTGTCGTGCAGCCACAGTGTGTGTAAAACCTGTCTGCAGCAGTTCTGGAAAAGTAAAGGATTTCGAGAATGTCCAGTGTGTAAAAGAAGATCCTCAAGAGAAGAGCCTCCACTTAACAGGATACTGAAGAGCCTTTGTGAGTCTTTTCTAGAGAGCAGGAGTCAGAGATCTTCAGCAGGGTCTGAGGAGCTCTGCAGTCTGCACAATGAGAAACTCAAACTCTTCTGTCTGGATGATCAACAGCATGTTTGTGTGGTGTGTCAGGGTTCAAAAACACATCAAAATCACCACTTCTGTCCAGCAGATGAAGCTGTGACTAACCTCAAGGTAGGAAACTTTATTTATTGATTTTTTTTTTATTATCCATCCATCATTGCCAAGCTGTGATGTCCAGTTCCGTTTTCTCTGAGTACCAGATTTTCCTGTTTAAGCATGTTGGACAGGTTAGTCTGTCACTGGGTGTGTCGCCAGAGCAAAGGGCGCACATACCTTAATAAGTGTTAATCAGAGAGTCATCAGAATGATCAAATTAGGATAACTGTCTGCTTTGGATTCACTGTGTAAGCAGAAATGAAATATTTGTTCCTCATAGCCAAACATGTAGAAACCTTAGCCTCCATTTGACACCAAAAGGCCAAACCACATTCATATTGTTCAAATACTGCAGAAGATGGAGAACGCTCTCAGCTAAACTGTTGTTTAATTCCAGAATAAACTCAAGACTGCTTTGGAGCCTCTACAGAAGAATCTGAAAGTCTTAGAGGAAGCTAAACAAGACTATGACCAAACAGCAGCTCACATTAAGGTGAAACATCATCTTGAATTGTGAAACATGTTGCTGAGGTGATGTTTCTGATGAGTGTCCACTTCTCCTGTAGGTGGTAAATGCTTGTAGATCATCTATTAGAGTTTGTGTTTCCTAATGGTCTCTCATTCCAGACGCAGGCCCAGCACACAGAGAGGCAGATAAAGGAGGAGTTTGAGAAGCTTCACCAGTTTCTAAGAGATGAAGAAGCAGCAAGGATAGCTGCACTGAAGGAGGAAGAGGAGCAGAAGAGTCGGATGATGAGGAGGAAGATTGAGGAGATGAATGGAGAAATATCATCTCTTTCAGACACAATCAGAAACATAGAGAAGGAAATGGAGGCTGAGGACGTTCTGTTCTTACAGGTAAGACTTACTTTACTCTCTTTCTAAAATAAATGTACTAGTGTTAATGGAGAAGACCACTATAAAGACCTTCTAGTGTTCAGAATAACCCAGTATCTGATTTTGTCCTCTTTTACGTGTGTAATGGTAAAGATATATCCATAGCCATGTAACTATCACATTATTGTTTCAGAACATCAAATCCACAATGACACAGTGAGTCAATGTCTTTATTTCATTTTACAATAAGACATTAGCATTAACAGTTTTGGTGGTGGTGGTGATGGTGGTGGTCACAAAGAAATAGGAAATACTAAAATGACTGGCTTACAGAGGCCCTGAAGAAACATGTGATATAATTTTTATGGTGAGCTCCAGATACTATCAGGTGAGCACCAGATACAATGTGGTGAGCACCCGATATTATCAAAAAAGAGTATCACGTCTGTATCTGTTGCTCACCTGACAGTATCAGGTGCTCAACACACAGTACCTGGTGCTTACCTGATAGGACTGGATGCTTACCTGATGGTACCGGATGGTCACCACATAGTATCTGCTGCTCACCTGATAGTATCAGGTGCTTGCCACATAGTATCTGGTGCTCACTATATAGTATCGGGTGCCAACCACATATTATCTGATGCTCACCACATAACACTGCGTGCAAATCTAATTGTATGGAGTGCTCACTACAGTATTGTGTGCTCAGCTGATAGTATCGGGTGTTTATCTGGTAGTATCGGGCGCTCGCCACATACTATCAGTGCTCATCTGATAGTATCGGCTCACCGGATTTTTACCTAAAAATACACCACATGTCACTTTAGGGGAAAAATATATATACATATTTTCAGTATTTTCATATTTCAATATGATCAGAACTCAGTGCACACCAAAGGATCCGATGTCCACCTCAGGAGCTCTGATCAATGTTGCTAAACACATTTCCAACCTGAAGTTCAGAGTGTGGGAGAAGATGCAGGACATTCTCCAGTACAGTAAGTTCTGTTTCTCTTTTCCATTTATCTCAGAAATCTCAGAATGATTTAAATTTACCTGAAAGATATTGTTTACGATGAACGCTGGACTCCTAAGTGCTGTTGATTCACAACTTCATTTTAGTTTATTTTTTAGTTTTTTATTATTCAAATAACAGAACGTTGTAGGCACTACAGTTTGTCTGCGTCCTTCAATCCTTTCCAAATGTCTTTTATTGTAAGTAAAAGAAAATGTTACATGTTAACATGATGTTTCATTGTGTTCTCTCTCCTCAGCCCCTGTTACTCTGGACCCCAACACTGCACATCCAATCCTCCACCTGTCTGATGATCTCACTGCTGTAGAATTTGGAAATGAGGAGTCATCACTTCCTGATAATCCCGAGAGATTTGACAGCTCTGTGTGTGTTCTGGGTTCTGAGGGTTTTAACTATGAGAAACACTCCTGGGATGTTGAGGTTGGGGACAGTGATCACTGGGAACTGGGTGTGATTTCAGAATCTGCATCAAGAAAGGGAGACTCTTTCTGTGATTCCGTGTGGAAACTGTGTAAAAGTAATAGTAAATACTGGATATGCGGCCCAGGACAGCCAGACCTCTTCCTCAAACCTAAAGAGAATGTCCAGTGGGTCAGAGTTCAGCTGGACTGGAACAGGGGGAAAGTGAAATTCTCTGATCTACTATCAAGTGCACATCTGCACACCATAACTGGCACTTTTACTGAGAAAGTTTTACCATTTTTCTGTAATGGATCTGTTTGTCCTCTGAGGATCTTATCAGTGAAGACATCAGTATCAGTAGAAAAGTAAAGTCGATGCTTCTTAGCATAAACATCCAGATACTGAATGTAGAAATTAGTAATGCAAAAATAGGACGAGATGCTCATTAGTAAGTAACATTCGGTGAGGTAAGAAAAAAAAGTTTTAAAATACTTGTCACAATAACTGACACCTCAAGAAACTGTGAGGAAAATTCTGCTGTCTAACTGGCATAACTCCCATTCATACACTCCCTTTTGGAAACTATAAGAAACAGCTTCACACCCACTACTACTACTGATATCTATGTGTTTTTATACTTTTACACTTGAAATTCCAATATATGTCTTTGTAATGACTGAACTGACGATAATAATTAAGAAGTTTCAGACACCTGGAGCTGTGCTGAATCTGGAAGAGGACCTAAAGTTATTTCATCCCCGCACACAGTAAGGAGGATGGATAGAGAGGAAAAACTTTCTCACAGCTTGACAGCTGCAGGATTTGTTTAAATCTGGGGTGAAAGTAGGAATTAGGAGTGTAATAATTAGGGATGCATTGATACGGATAGTGGTATCGGGTATTGGGCCGATACCATGCTCATGTACTCGTACTCAAAAAAATGCAGCGATGCCAACATTGTACCAGCTGTGATGTAAGCCGAGTATATACTGCTGTGCTACTGAACAAACGCAGGGAAGGAGGCTCACACAGAGAAGAGTTACTGACTCCAAGGTAGCTGGAAATAAAGCTGTTGGTCATTTCAAACATTCCATCTTGGCAGATTCTTGCTGGGAATATGTTTTGTGATTTTAGTCCATTTGTCTGGCTTTAGAGGATATTCAGCTACAGCTCAACCAGCCAAGCACAATACGAATAGTATGTTATCGGACTCAGTATCGGCAAGTACTATAAATATGTACTCATACTCTGTCTGAAAAAAAAACTGGTATCAATGCATCCCTATTAATAATGCATCATTCCATACTGTTAAATAATACTTCCTGGTTTGTGTCATTTTAACCACTAGAACTTCTTGTTTTCCTTGTGTTCCTCTTTATTCTGTGTATCTGTATCTTTGAAACAGCCATGGGTCCAGAGGTTTTGTGTATTTTTTTTTTTTTAATGCTGATCATGTGAGGCTGGATGTGTTGTTATTTGAATATGTAATATTTTAAAAAAAAATATTTATTTAGTTTTTAATCAACAAGGCAAAACAAGATGGCCTGTTTCAGTAAGTTCTTCTTTATAGTGGATCTAATGTCATTGCTATCTACTGTATGGTATGGGTTCAGAGAGTGCCAGTTTAAGGCAAGGGGATGCATAAATCCCCTTAAGACAAGAGGTTAAGGCAAGAAATGATGTACGAGACTGTCTAGTGATTGATACATTGTTTAATCAAAATGCAGAAACTGGTGATGGAAAGCAGTGTTATTAGGGTGTCTGTGGTGGGGCGTATCTTTATAGTGACCTTCTGAAATTCTTATTGAGCTTCAATAAAATTGTGATTTTGTACCATCCAGTGTGTTAATGATTCTATAGCTTCTTCTTCTTACCTTTCTCCGTTACAGGCCTAATAGGCTGAAAAAAGCCATCTACCTCAGTTTCTTATTCATTTGAAATACTTATCTTGTCCCTACACTCGTTGGTCATTTTATCAAAAACACAAACCATTTATGTTTCAGTTTGTAGATTCACAATTACAGACTGTGGCTTCTCTATTGCTGAACAATTTCTCAGGCCTACCACTACCCCATCCATCAATAGAAAGAGACTATCATATGACCACAACTGACCAGATATGATTTGGGTGGTGGGCCATTCTCAGTGCAGCAGTGACACTGACATGGTAGTGTATGTATTGCTGGTATGAGTTTGATAGAAGTAATGTGAACAAAGAATAGTGGATGATCAGAGCTGTGTACTGTTGTAAGAAACCTTCTTAAAAGATGTGTGTGACAAGTTGTTTTTATGAAGGCCTATGATCTTTGAGGCAATGTGCATGATACATGACAGCTTGTTGACATTTGCCGCTGTTAACATTGTGAGGAAACAAGTTGAACAATATAGCATGATATGATCATGTAGTTCCTTTAACTTTCTAATGACAGAAAGTCTCTGCTGATGTCTCTTGTAAAGCTCTGTTACATGCTGGTCAAAGCTAATTTTTTTGTCCAGATTGAGTCCAGGTGCAGTGAGAGTTTGGCGAGTTAATGATCATCTCCGTAGTCTTTGAGACATTTAACTGCAGATGACTATCTGTACACCTTTGTGTTAGATGGGAGATGGAATGCTGTACAGGTGCCAGTCTGGCGACTTCCGAGTACAAGGAGGATAAAATCTAGTGCACTGGTTGTTAAGATACAGAACAGATCTCTTTAAACAATCTAACAAAGTTAGTCTGACAATTTTAAGGGGTTATGACAGGAGGCTATGATCTGCAATGCTAACATACATTATATATTATCCACAATAGAGGGTATTTACTTTTTTTACAGCCATCCCACAACACTCAATTTTATCTTGTGTATCAGGACATCCAGTTCAGAATTAACATGACTGACATTGAACTCTTAAGATTTACTTCTTTTCTCAAGATATCGTGCAGACCTTGATACTTTTACTGTCCCTAAATACATAAAGCAGAATAATCAGTGTTTCATACAATTAGTCTTTTAGAACAAAGAAACCAGCAAAATCAAAATCAGATAAATGCAGTCTTGCAATCCAAAATGTCTTCTGTCTTCTTTGATTTACTCGAGTTGTAAAATTACTGATAAAAGTTCCTACTGCAATTCATTACTATTTTTATTAAACCTGGTAATAAAATGGGAAAAATGGCAACAAATCATAATTACTTGAAAAAGAAAATATTAAAAATAAATAATTAGCAACTATTACAGTAAAAGTGTATAATACTAAACAATTAATCAGCCATTCCACTTATTTTTTTACATTTACATAATATTGTCACTGCCCTCTTACTACTGATCTGTAATACTCTCTCTCTTTTTTCTCCTGCCCAGTTCTGTCCTTTCCTATCCTATTTCAGTGGAGCACAATGACTGTATTTCTTCACTGTAAATGGTGACGAAGGACCTGACAGATCCTCAGACGACACTTTATGAACACTCAAATTATCAGGGTAGAAGTATTGTCCTGAAGAATGAGACCAACCTGTGTCATGGCTCTTTCAACGACGTGGCATCTTCTCACAAGGTTCAGAGAGGAATCTGGGTCCTGTACGAGCATATCGACAGACATGGGGCAAAGATGGTGGCCAGAGCTTCTTGTGATATTCCTGACTATGGTTGCTTCCATGACCAAGTGTCCCTTGTGCACCCCAAGTGGGTTTTAAGAAGAAATGTCTGGTGAATGAGGCCCAGTGTTCTTAAACATGTTGCTTTATTTACTGATGAATTTTTGGTGGTGAGGTTCAACCAACCTTACTCGTAAAGGAATAAGACTTTTCTGGGTGTTACTTTCATAACCAAGCATGACTGCATCACCTATAAAACATGTTTCATTAACATGTGTGAAGCCGTGTATCTAGTTTTGTGAACTCCTCAAATCAGGAAATTGCTTAATAACTTTTCTGGCTGATGCACCTTTTTTGTCCCTTGCCCCCTGCAACCATCAACCTGCTCGATCTATCTCTACGCACTGCAATTTCAGAAGGAACATGTATAACATAAAAGTAAAAACATTAAATATATTGTCTTTGTAATACTTTTAGTTAAAAAAGGTAAAAATCAGTGCTTTTTCTTTTTATTTGCATTCAAATGCTGTCAAAACTTTGGGAACCCACTGTTTACTGTAAAGTGTAATTTAAAGTGTCTCTTAATTTAATTAAAGTGTCTCTTAATTTAATTACACTATGTCACATTATTTGTGCCCTGATATTAAAAAGCTAGTTTCAGAGCTTAAAATATTGGTGAAAATGTCAATAATCTAAAAATGTTATTAAGTAATATCAAAATATACTGAGTAAAAAATATTTTTGACCAGTACGGAAGGTCTTTACACATTCCCATTATGTCACACATCCTTCTGACCTCGATTCTCACAAGGACTCCATCTCCCAGAACCCCTTGGGAGATAATGTGACAGAACTTCCTCATTCAACCAATCACCGCTCTAGTTCTTCTCCTAGTAAGGAGTATTGACTCCTTTCACCTGTGCTCCATGTCATATGATTTGTTTAGTTTAGTTTAAAAGTCCGGGCTTTAGCTTAGCCAGTTTGCGAGGTATTGCTTCTCCTGTAGAGCTACTGAGCCTTTCTCTTGTGTTTTTGTAGTTGCCTTTTTCGTGTTTGGACTGTTTTTCTGGATTTCTGGTTTTTCCTTGCTGTTTTGGATCTGACCCATGCCTGTTTACTGACCATGAGTCTTGTCAAAGTCTTTGATATTAAAGCCTCAGTTTTTGTTTTTTACCACGAGTGTCTGGCGCTTTCTGTCACGTTACACATAAAAGATGCTGTATGAGCATGGTAACACTTTCTTTGGATAGCCCACAGTAGATTTTCACCTTGTCTATAATTTAAATTTGTCCAAATATACATTGCAATCACTTTAATTTTACCTAACCCTGAATCGTACACTCACTCTAACCTCAACCTCGAAACAAAAGCTAACCTTGGCCCTAAACCTAATCCTGATACTAATACTAGCCATATACCTAATGTTTCATCAGATTTTTTATGTAATCTTCTTTTCCCCCTAGTTCAGATGTTAAATCTGTAATAACTGGATGCTGTTTCCTGAAATAAACTTAAATGACTCATTTACAGAAACTGATCACCTTGATTCATTTGAGAGCTGCTTGTTTCAGGTTGTTACAGTTAGAAAAGTGCATCTGACTGACTCTTCCTTTTTCAAAGCTCCTCCTCCAGCCACCTGCTAGGCCACCTCTGGCCACTAGGAGGGTCCGAAGAACTGGGACAGATCAATTAATCAAGTGGTGGCAACTGTGGAAGCCTTACTTAAGGAGAGTTCACAAGTAGCTCTTCGCTCAGTCTTGAGTTCATGTTGCCAAAGGCATGTTGCTCTGACTAAGTTGGTAGCCATGGTATAACTCTCCCTTCTGGAGTCGAGTGTTGCCTCTCTCAAAGTGTTTCTCAGCATAAGTGTAAAAAAAAAATTACATTTAAAACTTCTATTTAAAGTTAAAGAAGTCCAATTATCTTTGAGGCTAATATATGTAAATGACCTCTGTTCTAATTGGTTTATGTGTCTTTTGCCTCA